TTAAATATAATTTTTTATGTAGATTTCTTTATCTTTTGTTTGTTAGGCAGAAGTCGTGCATAATGGTATGATAATGGTATACCATCGTTTATAGTTTTTTTTCTGTGATCATGTACACCATTTTATGTTCAAAGTTACAAAGTTTCATTCAATTCATTCTAATTTCTAATTAATAATTACATCATTGTTGAATATTTTAATATTAATATAAATAATATAATGAAATAATTTAAATGTGGAAATGTATTAGATATAATTGTAGCTAAATTTATTTGTACACCTACGGGTTGAATGCAGCGAACATAATTTTTTTTAAAATCTATTGTGTCTCATTACCTGTATTCACAAATAAATAAAAATTTGAATTTGAATTTGAAAAAGAGTTATCTATCTTTTTATGTATTGATTTAGATATGTTGTGGACTGCAATGAAACTATAGCCACGTTGCCAGTAATTAGTTCTTCAGTATTTCCACGATCAGAATTTATTTGTAGCAATAGTAAAAAATAATAGCATATAGTTGTATTTATTACGAAATATAACGTTATAACAAATATAAAACTAAAACGACTACTGACTAATAATACGACATCAGTGAAATTATTACGCAACCATCTTTGATTTACGTTTGATGCTTGTTACTTTAGCAAACAAAATTGTTTTTGATTGTTCTATATCAAATTAATTAAAGGATAAGTACCGATTTTGGTAAATATAGCTTTTGGCTAATGTTTCAGTAGAGGCATGCTGTAGCTATATTATGGTTTTAATTTTTTTACCCGATTACTCCAGTAGTGACGGTGTACCTCAACCGGGGAAGGACCACGCTCTCACAGAATACCAGGAAAAATATCAGCTTAATGCTGTTCCGTTTCGTATGGTGACTGTAAGAGAACCGGAGACCCTTTTACTGGAAATGAGACATTCCATCTTAGTTCTCAGGGGCGTAAACACATCTTCATCATTGATTCCTCATTAAGAACAAATGTAGATGTCTATGGGCCACAGTATCCACTTACCATCTGATGGACTGTGTGCTCGTTTGTCACCATTATTCTATAAAAAATACCATCTTAACAAGTGATAATAAGGTTTAGGATAGCCATCCGACTTATTTTGAATACATTTATTCACTCTCGCCTTCATTTCAAAAGTTTGCTAGTAAGTTTCCATTTGACTCGTGTCAGAAACGATAAGCATTATAAAAACAGATTGATTGATGATGATTTTAAAGATCAAAGACTTAGAAAGAAAGAAATAAGAATACATCAGACTTCGTATAATTGATAAAAAGACGCAGAGAAGAGGACGAAGAATTCTTGTCACTTTTGACAAGATATCAACCTGCAAAGTTTCTGTAAGTTGGCCGAACGCCAGAAAACCAAATGATGACACACCACTGTTTCATTTAATTTGTTGCATTATGACATATTTCAAACTAAGGCTCTCTTTGTTTTTCACGATTCAGTTACAAAATTATTTTTGGAAAGGGTAATAAACAAAATTATATGCAAAGGTTGATCATTTGGTTATTACCTATATATTAAAAGATATGCAATAAAATATAATTCACTTTAACGTCGAAAACGCAGTAGTCTGTGACGTTTACAATCTCAATTAAAAAAAATTAAAATTCTACATATAATATGCAAATTTAAAACGTACGTTATATTGTAATAAATAAAAAATGGAAGCAGATACTTGTATTCCTAATAATTAATATTGCAAAAAATTAAGTAGTATTTCTTTTATATAGAATAAGGGTTACAAACGAGCGCACGTCCACCTGACGGTAATGGCTGCAGCCTATAGACAGACATCTTCATCTAAAAATGCAGATGCGCCACCCCTGTGGACCAAGATGGAACGTCTCGTTTCCAGTAAAACTTTTCTCCGCTTCTTTACACTCATCATATGAAACAAAACAGCATCAATCTGCCACTTACAGCTCAAGTGGCTCGTATTCTGTGAGAACGCAGTCTTTCCCCGGTCGAGCCGACCCACGCGTGCTACAACTATAATATAGCTAAAGTATGGCTCTACCGTTTAAAATGTAAAAAGATTTCTAATTATTTAGAAAAATAATTACTTATTCGTAATAACTGGCCATTACTAAGATTTTAGTTAAGTATTTAAAAGATATTCACAGGGTCAATAGTTAAAATATTATGTGATTTCTTTGATGTCATGTGCCATTGTGTTTAGATATTGCAAGTTTTCTTTACTATTTTTAATATAAATAACAACAAAATAATTTAAAAATGAAAAACAATCACTAACCAACTCATAATAAAATTGATGATTTAAAGTAACAAACTTACATTTAGTCTAGATTACAACACATTCAAACTATTCGAGAAATATAATATAATGAGCGTAATAAAATTCAAATTTATTAAACAAAGAAATAATAAACGATTTCAGTAATGCTTTATCACATTAATACAAATTGTAATACAAGCGATCATCTAACTATCAGAACCCTTACCCAATTACACCTAACTACAGCGAATGGCACTGGAGTGGAAAGATAAGAAAAATCCGCACACACAACACACAAGCACAAATGTACACAACACAACTATAAAAGAGGTGTTCAATGCGTAATTTTAAAACAGCAGGCCACGTTCAAAATGGACACTCACGGGCGAGGGTTCAAATAACGACTGCCCGCCCGGGTTGCGCCGTGTGGAGATCGATCGTTGTGCGCATAGTCTCTCGAGTTCGCGTCATTCCACCCCCAATATCTTATGTATGAGAACGAAACACACCAGGAAAAAGAGAAAAAAATTCATACTACAGACGAGCCCTCTTTGAAGGTGATGCAAGTAACCGATGAGAGGATTTGCAATCCTAATACGATGATCTTTGCCGCAATTGATTTTGATGTGTTGGGGATAACTTGATATAGATTGGTATAATATGTCACCAGGGTTGTGTTCAAAGCAGTTTTAGGTAAAACGAACTAATAAGAATTAAATAACTTCCACATAATAGTGCTATGACATAGTATACAAAATAATTAAAGTCAACTGAAGTCGGCTGTTACTTTTTTTAAATTTGCTTTTTGGATCCTTTTGAGTAGATACACAATCATTGAAAATTTCTTCTCCTGTTTTTTCACTTAGATGTGGTATTTTTTTACATTAAATTTCCATTACAGCCTATAAAAGTCCACTGCTGAACATAGGTCTCTCCACAGATTGTCTCATAGAGGGAATTCTGCCATAGTTGTCACGTTTAGCAACTGCTTGTTATTTTTATTTAGCTCTTATCAGGAAGATGCAGGGAAGAAGGGCAGCAGCATATCTCTGTTTCAGTTACCATCTAAGCAACAGATTTTCGATCACCTGTCACGGCAAGTTTTGGTAGAACATATTATTACACCGTCACTACTGGAGTAATCGGGTAAAAAAATTACAACCGAATTATGAACCAACCAACCAACCAATTCCATTTTTGAAGTCGGCTAAAATTTAAATAAATTTGTAGTTTCATTTTTAAATTAGTCTTATTTCTTCTTCTTTCTGTTTTCTTATTTTTAAATCTGTACGTAAAATTAGGTGGATTTTTCTAAAGCAATGTCGAACATAATCTTTATTATCCTCTATATTACATTCGATAATAAAAGTATGATTTATTTTTAGAAAACCGATAAAAGAAGGCTATGGATTTAAATATTTGAGTATAACTTAACTTCGTTATGTATGTCTTTGAATATAAAATTATATTGGATTCGAGAAAATTTTGATTAATACTTTATTTTCCTTTATTAATTCTTTATTTTTATTCAGTAAATTTTCTATAAGTTAAATGCTAATATCCTTAGTATTGGCTTGGTCATCTTTGCTGAATCGAGAGGAACCCACGCGGTTGGCATGTTGTGGAGGGCTGGCCTAAGGTGGTCACACCACGTAGGCGAGGTAAAGATGGCAACCCGTCCTTGCTCTTATGAGACGGATACATGTGAGAATTTTCCCACGAAAAAGGAACAAGCCAAAAAATTGCTGACTAGATATCATGAGGTTGGTCATAAAAGTCGATTGTTTCATCACAAAGAACACTTCAGGTAAAGATGACGGCTCCGTGACACAGTGACGTAGCATTGAGTTACGGTATTGACGGCCGGGGGTTTGAATCCCGCACGAAACAAGTATTCGTATAGACTACAAATAATTGTTGTGGGTCTGGATGTTAGTCCTTGTGTAATTTATATTTGTAAACTGCCTCTACGATACACGAGTCTTAGTGTTGAGGTAAAGTTTTTAACTAAAAAAAAAAACAAGATGTTTAAAAAGACAGGCGGCCCCTGGATTTATCCGAAAAGGAAGTAGATGAATGGGTGTAAGGTAAATCCAGCATAAACATGTTCTTTAAGAGGAAGTTTAGCATGCATGTGTGCATTCTACTTTTAACCATAAAGGCCAAGCAAAATGATGAAATATCCTTTCGAAGATGCTTTACAAAAACATTAAAGACTTTTTTATGCTTAGCAACTGACCCGAAACGAATGCTGATAATGGGTCAATATTTCAAAGTTGCATTTAAGATTGCCCAGCAGTGAATTTGGAGAAGATGGTACAGATGAAACAACAAGGAAGCTAAAAATAATTTGTTCCAAGTTGGATTAGTAAAATGTGTCTCAAAGTGTGAGTCGAAGAGATGTTTCTGGTTACCGATATTTTGCTTCACTTTAAACCAACAACGGAAAAAATAAACATAGAATCTGGCAGCAGGGATAGAACTCAGTTTGTCAGACCAAAATCAGAAAATTAATGTTTTCAATCAGTCTCTTTAGCTACAATCACACGTCTTTTAATGAAATAGTTGATAAAATATTTTAAGTGATTAGGTGATAATTAAGTATAATTATTATTATTAAACAAGTATTAAACAGATTTAAGGCTTTGCTAAGACAATGAGTGTTGTTCAAAACACTTTTGATTCTAACTCCTCCCATTTCCCCTATTCCAATAATCAAAATTAGTGTGTTTATTACCTGTACTTCTTGTCTCTGTGCCACACAGAAATATGCAGTACTTGATGGTCGTAGATTGCAGTAGGTAAAGGCAGTTTTAGATGTCGCTGGAACTCTGGCTCTCTTCTTCCGTAAAGAACCGACGTTCTTTGAAAAATTGATCTCTGCGACGGTAATGACTGGTTTTCATTTACACCGCTGATGACGACCTAAGCAATGTATATTAAGTATCAGTAAGGCACATCTTTTTTAAAAAATGTATGTATTAAGATGTAATATTTTACAGTGTATATTATATAATGAATTATATATATTATATACATTTATATATAATATTATATACATATATATATATATATATATATATATATATATATATATATATATATATATATATATATATATATATCGTTTCTTTAAAATTACCTTTGCATAAGCGTTAATGTCCTCTGTCTTTCCAGATGACCTCTGAAGGTCTCGACACCGAATAACTGAAAGAAAATGTTTACAAGTCAGAATTTATGTTTAGTTTAGCTAAAAAAATACAAAATGTACTAAAAATGAGAATCGATAGTCACCACTCACCGTGAACGTCTACTACGTCTTGTCTAGTTTTAATTTCAAGATCTATAGTCGCTTTTAATGCTTGAAACCTATCTGTGCTTCGTTCTAAGCGATTACTAGCAACACTTCTACGTTTTTCCTCGCTACTATTTATACTACTTTCCTCTGGAGAATACGTTAGACATCTTCTCGACGACTTATATTCTATGACAGGAGTAAGAGCATCATTTGGTATTACATCTTCATCTAATTTGCTTGTTTTACTAGCTATTTCGTCACTTAAGACGTTGCTTTGTCGCTTCAGACTCACAGCTGGTGTGATAGGACTCGGTATTCCGTTTGCTAAAGTCAATCCAAATAATTCTCGAGTTTTTATATTTTGAGTAACTGGATCATAAGTGTTTAAACTACTGTGTGAAACATTTGTTAGAACTGACGTGTTACGTAAATATTCATTATCTTTGTATCGTGTATTTGAATGGTTTACCATCAAGGGAGAATTTAAAGGCTCACATAATGATACGTTTTGCAAGTCTAATGCGGGGCTGGGTATACCCATTTCCAGAGTACGTAGTAGTGATGATTTAGGTGAGTTTCGTTCAGTTTGTTTTTGTTTCCATAGACTTTCGTTACTTACTGTAAGTTTCTTTTTGCGAATACATCTTTGTCTTCTTAATCTTATATTCGTTTCATTTGAAGTATTGAATAAATCGGGAGTAGATTCTGATAGTGTGCCTTCTAGATTACTTTTAAGGGTACATGTAGCATTCATTGAATAAGATCTGCATAATTGTTTATTTACATCGATTGCAGGTTCTGTTACTGTTAACTTCGTATCTTCGAATTTATCAGGTGTACGGACTTCCCTTTCGTTGTAGCCATCTCCATCGTCTAATAGAAAACATCCTATTGGAACGTTCTTTAACAACTTATCATTAACTCTATGAATAGGCAACATTTTCTTAGTTGGAGTATTTTTGGGCGATACAGAGCTCTCTCGAGATAGATTTACATATTTAGCTTCTTTGATTAAACATGACTTGTGTTCAGCTTGAGGTTTTACAAATAAATCTTTAACAGTATCTATAGGAGGAATTTCTTCTTCAACTGTCAGCTGCGGATCTGCAATATTTTTTAAGATTCGCCTTCTAGATTTAACAATTTTAGTACTTTTTATAATATCTTCAATCATTTTCTCTAGAGTAACATCCCCCATTTGAGTAGTTGATACTGTGGATTCCGAGGCATTTGTTAATGAATCTTTGCCTAAAATAAATTTGTTTTCCATTTCTGTTGAGCTTTCTTCGTCTTTTAAGTTAATATTAAAAGGATTTTCAATTTTAGGAAAGTATTGTGTAACATCGTTTAACGGAGTTATTTTACTTTTCACGTTATGTGTACTCATAGTGCTAAACCTTAATGCCTCTAACTTTACTGATAAAGGAGTAATGGACACCGGAGAACAGCCATTTCTAACGAGAGTATGTGCATCTTTTTTATCTACCGATGGGGATCTAAAGCAACTTTCAAAGTCATTTGATTTTTTCCTTGTTCGTTTTAAAGGTCTTATACTAAGAGGAACATTCTCATTTTTATTTAAATATACAGGGTTATCCATGAAAATGCTATGACCAAATATAGGTAAAGTTGATTTTTCTATTTCATTTTTATCGATAATAATTAATGGTTTTTCTAAACAGTTTATGACTAAATCTTTGTCGTATTCTATTTCAACTATACCCTCACTTGCAGTTTTTGTGGTACAAATAGGCTTGCTTTTGTTTTTGTATCTACCTATACTTAATGAATTTCTGCTACCTGTAGTTGTTGCACTGAGCCTGCCTGAAAGTTCGTTTAAAGATGGCTCGGAAGTGCTATGACTCATTTTTGGGGAGCATAAAACACTACTGTCTACGTTGTTTATTCTCCTTTCTGATTTGTAAGCGCAACTATTTCTTACAAAACCGTCGCTGTTATTTAAACTATTCAATGCTAATTTTCTTTTCTTTGCTTCTCTAACTCTTCTACTGTAGGATGGTGGAGTTGAAGGTAGCTCAGGTGATATTTCATCTCTTGCATCATCACTATAGAAATCATAATTTTCTAAGTTTTTAATAGGAGTTACAGATGTAGGAGTAATATTGCTAACATCTTTCAAAACAATATTTTCTGTGTTCTTTATAAAACCAGGCTTATAATAATTAGGAGTGTTGCCTATAAAATTAAGGTTTTCTTTATCGACGTTTTTTGTATTATTTTTCCTAGCTGTAGCTCCAATAGACCGCCTTTGGTAACGACTTGGCTTCTTCCTCTTCTTAACCGCTTGTGCATCCAAAGATCTTCTTGATCTGTCATCATACGGTCTATTTGAATTAAGATCTTGAGTTTCGGTTTGTGAATTAATATTAGTTTGACCTTCTTGATTCTTTTTGTACACTGCCCACTTCAGCATTTTGCACCTGTAAATAAAATATTGGTCATTAATTAATTGTTTAAAATGAATGAAATTAAATGAATCTTGAATCATCATCATCTTATATAACCCTAAATTGATTTTCCTTATTAGGTCATTACAAATACACTTTCTTTTTTAAACTTTTAATACTGTCAAATAAAAAAAAAATATGAAAACAATTAAAGTACCTACGTACCGGAAACTAATATTATAAAAGTATTTGACGTTACATGTCTATCAATGAATCCTTGAACTTTTGCTTACGTCATAATAACAACTTACTTCCACCATATCAGGTAATAGATAACGTATCGAAATGTCACAGTGAAATTTATAAATAGCTTTAACGTTTTGTGCATTATTTAATATGGAGTAATATACGGTAAGGTATACAGTACGTAGGTGGCTCAGGGCCGTACTTTGTGGAGGACGCATGTTCAGAAGTGGACTTGTGATTGACTGTAGTGATAGTGCGTGGATTATCACACATATATATATATAAATATTACAGTACCTATATACATATATATGTATATATAACTTAATAATAAATAAATCAATTATATAAGTAAATTTTAGAAGGGTCTTTAGAAGAGATCAAGTACCCAGATAAAATAAAAAATAGCTATTATTAATTTTACAAAGTAAGACAATTAATAACAAATAAAAATGTCCTATTAGGATAATTAGAAGTTGATTTGCTTAAAAACGCTCTTATTTTCTTTGTTTCTCAATATTTTGAGCCGCTTATAAATGAGTACCTAAAATACTATTTGTACAGAAGTTTTATAACACAAAAAAATCAACAAATTAAAGTTTCTTTTAACATAATATTATAATAGTCATAAATAAAAAGATTACGTTATGTCATAAAATGACGTTTATGATAATCGATGCCCTTTACTGACCAGTACGTTAGAGTTGCTTAAAATATGCAGTAAACAGCGAACGTTTGAATGCGATACTTGAATTATTGTTTTTAACCGACTTCAAAAAAGAGGAGGTTCTGATTTTTAGTGTTTTTTTTTAATGTATGTTACGCGATATCTTCACAGATTTTTTGAACCAATTTTGATGATTCTTTTTTTATTAAATAGTTATACTTCAAGGGTGGTTCCATACAAATTTGGATAAAAAATTCCATCGTTAAGTGTAGCAAATAAATAACTTCTTTTTTAGCAATTTGAAGTCGGTTTTTAATTTTTCTTAAAAGTTATAATTGTGTATTTATATTCTTGAAGACTTCTTGCTTGGCCATTGTGATTTTACACATCTATGATGTTGTGGAGCTTGAAGATTGAAGCATGAGTTTCAGATTTAACAAACCATAGTAATGTCAGAAAATACAAGTGAAGCACACTATAAATTGCTCGCGTAACTTTGACAAATGGCATTTTGCTTTTTGCAATTTCGAGCAGCAAGTCTGTGGCCATTATAATCTGTCATTCGTTCGGTGACAGTGTCTCAATTTGTCACGGCTAGACACCATTCTCGCAACCGTTAGGTACGAGAATGTAGATGGTACCAATGTTCGAACATAAAATGCAATTTCATGGCTCAATGCTCACATCATTTTTCAGAATTCGTATCTACCTCATTTCTGTTGGTAACCCTAGTAAAGTTGGATATCCTCATTCCAGTTGAATAGTAATCATATTTTCAGGCTGTCGACTATCACACATTATAGACCATTAAAATGGATGCATCTGGAGACGAAAGTTTCATCTCCGTACCGTGTAGTGGCCGTTCAAGAATATTCACTAACCCATATCGTAAGAGACGACAGATGGAAACAAATCAGGAGATGGTGAGCAGCATCTTCTTAATAACAGCTAAAAATAAAAAAATGCGATGGACATCACGCTTGCCAAACGTGGCAAACATCACCCCTATGAGACAATCTATGGAGGAGGACTATGTTCTATAAAAGTGTTCTAAAAAAGGCTATAAAAGTAAAGGTATGGTAAGTTTTATCGAATATTTTAAAGTTTTATAGAAGAAACATAAAAGAAGGGAGAAACGCTTATGCGAAAGTATTAGAAGTGAGTTATAATGGAATACCAGAGACAATGGGATGGTCTGTTTCCAAACCTCAAAACCAGTAATAATTTCATCAGTCATTTCAGTACAGTCAGTACCTCCGTCTGTGCGTGATCGTTGAAAAGCTAATATTTCGGTATATAATTAAATAAGTATTTCGTGCGGTGAGTTTCGTAAGAGGTGACTGTACCAGAAATACCAAATGACTCTAATGGATAACAACACAACCACCCCGTTTATATTAGGCATAAAATATCCAGACCGGCAATGGGGAGCAGCGCCCAAGAGACGAGAGAGTACTGCGATCGTCAATTCGCCTGCCAAGCTTAGCTATTATGGCAAATACAGGGAGTATACAAAGGGAAAGCCGCATCAGGAGTGGACTATCACGAATGAGGGCTAATAATTTTCTGCTCACCAGATGTCGCTAGATGACACTGAGGTAAAGTTTTTTGATACGCAATGTAATTTAATTGAGAAATTGGTTTTTCATAAAAGTTTATTAGTTTCTAAAGTATTATATTAATACACAAGATAATGCGTCAGTGGTTTGCTCTTTAACTTTTTACACATTTTTAACTTTTTCTTAATTTTACTACTTTTATGAATACCTATCTGTGGTTTGGTTTATTTATTTTTAATCTTATTAATATAAAATATAGCTAATAGTATCGAAAGAAATAATAACCTTTACATTTTCCGAACAAATTAACTTCCCCGCTATGAAATCTGTCAAATATTATAACTCACTTTATAGTGGCGCCGCCCTGGTGGCAGAAAAAGTCGTGGATGCTCGCATTGATGATGAACAGTTTTATTTTATTGTTCTTAATCCGCAGCAGCTCAACTGATTTCGTGTCAGCCATTGAATCAAATAAATTGTACGTAAATAATACAGTCCACTAATTGTTTGTCCACCTGTAGTTCACCCGCACTGCCGCGTTCATACATTTTATTCTATTTCCTTCGATCATAATTGCTGAACCATTTATTTTTTGCTTTCTTCGAGCCGCAGCTCACCGCGAAACCACTTTTTGGTGATTTTGATGATAAGAGTATAATAGCTCAGTGGTTTGTCGAAATCAAAGTATGGTGGGTCTATTATAAGTAAATATTCCGGCTATATTCCTGCGTGACTTATTTATCATTAAAACTACAACCTAAATGCTAGTTCACTTAACGTATTGATTACAGCAAGCTATTTTATAAATGTTATATTATGCTTAAAACAATAATTCTCGAAAGATTAAGTCGAACCTATATTTTAAATTGTTTTTTAGCAGGAGAAGTGCATAAAAATGTCTTAAAATTTTGTCTCTACATGACTATTGCAAACTCGGAACATTGGTTCCAATTTTGGGAAAACTCAGTTAAGTAACCATAAAAACAATGGTTGCAATTTCATACCTAATTATGTATTCATAGATTACAAATTCCAAACACATTAAACGGCAATGTAGATTGCACAAGACGTATTTGGCGATTAGTTAGGGTCATGCGACTTATATGTTCCTAGACGTTCACTAACTGTAACGGTAGCTGCGTGAGTCTGGAATTAGACACGCTTTTGAACTTGGTCTTGTTGGAAGACGATTGAGGATGATAGTTTAAATTTAACCTTTAGTTGCGATTAATGCATGAAAATGCGTGAAAATTGAGGCACTGTTCCGCATCATGAGTCTCCCGTTGTCAACTCCTAAAGGCAGTGATGGCATTCTTTTAAAACTTATACACGCCAGTTAATCAAATCAAATTTTAACAAAAAAAGTTAAAGTTAATCAAAACAATTATTACGATCATTTTTTTTGGAGTTTATGGCCTGGCATCTAGACCTTTAGGCCAAGTCTTGAGTATTTTTATTCGGTTTATTATAATTTCCCCACTGTATTTTTGATGAATTTATATAGAGGCACGTAATAGGATCTATTTTTTAACATATCACTCAGGCGGCGGGAGGGATCTTGCACTGTCACTTGATTTTGCACTATGTCACTAATTTCACTGACAAGAATCAATCTGTCAAATGAAAAGCACTCACATGTAAATATGAAATGTTCGATATCACCAACAGAAGATCATTTATTTTGATCTCTCGTAATGTTGCCATTTAATTTATTGAACATTTTTATTTTTATTTACATTTGTAATAAATGATTTGAAATTGAAAAACCGTTAAGCCGAGTTTGAGTCGTTGTAGCTACTAAGCTACAACGACTCAAACTCGGCCTGTAGTGCCTAACCACTAGGTTAGGCATTCACCTTCAAATTTTATAGTACCCCATACACCCCGGATTCGATTCCGCTGGCACCACTAAAAACATAATTTTAATTATTGATTCACCGCTGGATTTGCAGCGAAGGAAAACATCGTCAGGTTAGAAATAAAAAAAAAATATAGGTGTAACTTTTACCTTTGATCTTTTAGCTAAATCCACTTAGCGGACCGTAAATAACCTCTGCCTATGCCTTCATACCGATTTTATTAGAATTCTGCAAAAATTTTTTTAATAAAAGATGAGAACGCGAGTGATCAATATTTTTATTTTAATATATTTATATATCATTAAAAGTCTGTAGGTTACTTAGAAATTTATTAATGATAATACGGTGTACAGCGTACTTTAATAACTACGTAACAGATAACGGTCAATAGATCCAACATTCTAGGTAGGCTTACTACTAGATAGGCTGTGATCATCTCCCGGGGAGGGGCGATGTCGGCGGCCGTGGCTGATGGGGTCGCGATGTGTCCGAAAGAGTTCCCGCGGCCCTACCTTTATGCAGCGAAGGAACACCAAGAAGAGGAAGAAGAAGAAGGTGGTATTAGTCGGTGTAACTACGGAAGCTAACATACCCAGTCTTTGTTCGCATGAAAAAACAAAGGCCGAACGACAGTTACATATCTGCTTCATGTTAGAACAAAAATAGTACTAAAGTATATAAATATCATCATCATC